CACATCACACTGTTGACTCATGTTTAACTTGTGGTTTACTAGGACTCCCAGATCCCTTTCACATGTACTGTTATCAAACCAGGTGTCCTTCATCCTATATCTGTGCATTTCATTTGTTTTGTTTTGTTGTTGTTGTTTTGCCCTTAAGTGTCATACCTTACATTTCTTCCTGCTGAAATTCATTTGATTAGCTTTGGTCCAGTTTTCTAATCTATTAAATGACTTTAATAGATTAGAAAACTGAGCCAAGACTAACAAAATGAATTCTGATCCCTTTCAGAAACACCTCACCAGAATCCCAGTCCAGATTGGGCTACCCATACAAGTTTTTTATTTTTATTTTTAATCAATCATTCATTTTATTGCAGTCAATGACCATATGAAATGACCATATTCCCAAATTCATATGAATACATAAAATATATAAAATATATAAATACTGTGAACATTAGTAAGATACATACACTTTTGAACATCAGTACAATATGAATATAAATATAAGGAATAAGGAATATAAAATATAGACATAAAATATAACTGCATACACAATAGTAAAAACCTAATCATTTACTAACATCTTATTTTCACAGATCTTAACTGCAACAGCACAAAATTTTTGCTGTCTTGGTCAGCATCCCTGTATACTGCACTGACATCAACAAAAGAGTGTAAAAACCTCTGAATGACCAGGGAATGCCATTATATATGGCTCAATGAGAGCTTCCTGAATTCCAAGATAAAAGGGACAGTGCAGAAGAACATGAGTTATTGTTTTGATTTCACCAGAGTTGCAGGGACATTTACATTGATAGTACAGCGTTTTCCTTGTATTGCTGATGGCAAAGCATTTAATCAAGCAAGAGTAAAGGCTTTATGTTGTATATTTATGCCATTGTATATTTATCCCCTCACCAATTGCATGCTCAGATTAAATCAATCTAACAAGGTCTTATTTTTTTTATAAAAAAAAAAAGCCATTCAGACCATTGTCAACAACATCTGTTCTGGTTTGGCTCTTGGGTTCTGTTGCATCCTCTCCCCACTCCATTACCTTTTTTCTTATCTGGCAGATCTTTTGCTATATTTTCCAGCTTTCACTGAACCCAAGGACACTGTCAATGCAACAACATTAGAACAAATTGAGCAATCCATGTATGGCATGAAGCAATTAGCTGGAATGATTTGTCTTGTTGTTTTGTGCCAGAAGTGATGAATCAGTTGACCATAGAGAGCATAGAATCATAGAGCTGAAAGGTACCACTAAGGGTCATCTAGTCCAAGGGCCACCTAGCAATCTTGGTCTTAGCAAGGAGAGGTAAATGACTCTCTTGTGGTCCATTTTAGACAGGAGAAGAGACTTCTAAGTATGCAACCAGGAGAGGTTCTACCTAACAGATGAGGGACATGCTGAACTGAAACCACCATCATCCTTCACCATTTGTTATGTTCGCTAGGGCCAACGGGAACTGTGATCTAATGACCGCACATTTTTTGTCCCTAACCTTGCTCTTAGGACTTCCTTTGATGGATCCTTTGCTTGGGAGAGAAACTGGCAACCAAATAGTGGCAGAAGCTGATAGATGGGACTTTAAAGTGAAATTAGTCTATTCAATCTAGAGTAGTGCTTCTAAAGCTACCTGACATGAGGGACTGGCATTTCCCCTCCCTCCCATCATGCCAGGGACCTGTACCATATTTGTGCCCATTGACTACAGTTGTTTCTATTTTCATGGAAACTCTCCAGGGACCAGCATGTGACAGCTCATAGACCCATCCATGGACCCTCGTTTTGAGTAGTACTGACCTAGATCTCTTTAGCCTCTACTGCTTTCATGTAGCAGGCCCTAACAATGTACCTGTTACTGTTACTACTTGTGGGCATTGTAAAGCTTATTTAGCTGGTGGCGGGAGGTAAGAAAACCTATCACAACTTTTATCTAAATACACTCTCTTTGATGCTCCAGCTCAGTGCCTCCAGACAAGATCTCCTTGCTCCACTGGATAATTTTCTGCTGTCAATGAATGGAGCAAAGAAGTTGCCTTCTCTTACTAAGGCAGAAGGTGCCCTCAGCAATCTGTGAAAAGAGGAAGAAAGTGTCTGTGTTTGTATGAGGAGCATGCTGGTACACACTGCTCAGTCCTTCTCACTTGCAGTAGGAGCCACTAAACTAACCACTGAGCTGGTTTATCATGCTGTCTACATCATCTCTTTTCTACTTTGTTTCCTCTCAACGAAGCCAACGGGGAAAACCAAGAATAAATATTAGATTATTTCTGTATTTTCTGGTAGAGCTTGGAAAAGTACTATACTTTAAAAGTACTGTAAAAGTACTTTTGGTACTATAACTCTCTTGTAACTTTTTAAAGCTCTGTTTTGTTGGAGGCAAAAAGAAAAGAGAGAAGGGGAGCCGGCCAATGCCTTGCAATGCAATAAACCAATGGAGAGATGGTTTTGTTGGGTGGCTAAACAGCGTGGAAATTTCCTATTAAATACTATCCCCCACCATCATCACACACACCTCTTGTTTTGGCTCCAGATAGCCTTTTTAAAAACAATCAGGAGTAACTTTCTGGTCGCTTATGATTTCATCAAAAGAGATGGATGTCACCCATGGATGCACGTGTTCCATCACTCCACCTTGCAGCAAGAACAGCTAAGCCAGGGGTCAGCAACCTATGGCCCGGGGGCCGGATCCATCCCCCCGAGGCCTTTGGACCGGCCGCCATTTTGTTTTCCAAAATGTCGGCCACGACTTGTTTGCGCATGCCCTGAGTACTGAGCATGCGCAAACGAGTCGCGGCTGCCATTTTGGAAAACAAAATGGCAGCTGTGACTCGCTCATGCATGCGCAGTACACTGGAAGTACTGTGCATGCGCGAGCAAGTGAGTGCACGCATGCACAGTACTTCTGGTGTACTGCACATGCGAGCACACGCGGCGCCATTTCCCCCCACACACACACACACACCCTCAGCCCGTGGAAGACCTGGGGACCAGCGGACCAGCCCCAGGTAAGGAAAACTTGCCGACCCCTGAGCTAAGCCAAGGATTGGCAGAGCACTGTGCAGAGTCTGGGGACCACACCAGGCTCATTTTCCATACCCTGGCAGCTCCATGGTTGCCCACTCCTGGCTTAGTCACTCCCACTACAAACTGAGTACAGTTGGCCCTCCACATTTGCAGTTTTGACTTTTGCAGTTTTGATTATTTGTGGGTTTGATTAATATGTTCTCTCTAGGAATCCCTAGGGATCCTCCAGAGAAATTCTGCTGGAAATTGACTAGAATTGCGCTGGATGATCTAGAGATTACTGGAGAAAATGCTTCTCTAGGCATTTGTAGGTCCTCCAGCATGATTCTGTGGTCACCTTTGGGCAGATGTTGACCATAGAGTTACCCCGGAGGGCTAGAGTTTTCTAGAGAGGTGGTTTCTCAGACAAAAAAGTAGGGTTTATTTATTTGCATTCCCCCCCCCCCATTTTCATGAGGGTCCTGTGCCTCTAACCCTAATGAATGTGGAGGGCCTACTGTAATTGACTACCATGCACCAGTGCTCTGCTTATTCACAACTAGCCTGCATTCTGATAGATCACTGGCATGTCATTGTCATGGAAATATACACACTGCCTTTTCAAAACTGGCTTTCAATTTAGATCTCTATAGGGCTCCTCTGAAGACTGATGGCCAACAAAGGGTAAATGTGACATTGCTCTAGGTATAAAGCAATAAAAAAATCTTGTTGCATCTTAAAGATTACCACGTTAACTTGTCATAAGTTTTCGTGCATTACAGCTCATTTCATCTAAGCCATCATTTGTTGCTTCCTTTGTCAGATTTTGATACAAATCCTTGGGTGGGTAGATGAGTGAAGGGGATGGGTTATAATTGGTAAGATCAAAGGGAAGTGAAATGCAAAAAGTACAAACATTAAATCATAAAGTTGGAAGAAACCACAAGGGCCATCCATTCCAACCTCC